GATGCCGGGGACTTAAGTGGAGAGTAAATGTTTTGAGAATGATGAGGTCAATGAATGTACAAATGTGCTTTACACAATTGATGCAAGTATGGATTATGACAAGAGTTGTATGAGCCCCTAATATAAAATGATTAAAAAAGAAAATAGATTCCTCAGCTTTCAAAGCTTATTCACAAGATATCAAACATTCCTTGAATTTAAGGTATCTTAGAATGTCCCAGAACGAAACTGTCTGTTTGAGAAGTTAAACTTGTCTCCATCACAAACCAATGCAACACATCCACACGTTATTTCCTGTTCTTACACAAGTTTCTCAGTTAGTCACTATGGACACGTAGAACACAACCAAGGAACTAAACAAGGGGTATAGAAACCCCAACAGCAAACAGTCCGATTTAATCAAACAATTTTTAGTTATAATAGGAAATGAGAACTGCTTTGGCATTAACATTTTAATTAACTCATTCAATGTTATCGAAGTCAATTGCAACTCATAATAAATTTACAGGACAGAGTAGAACTGCTACCCTGGGTTTCAAAGGCTGCAAATCTTTACAGTAATAAAATATCTGGTAGGTTTGAACTGCTGACCTTGAGGTTAGCAGCCCAATACATAAATCACTATGCTGCTAGGGATCCCCGAAAATCTCTTGCATTGACTTAATTATTAAGGTAACCATAAAGAGGGAACATGAGCTAAGCAAATTTTTCATACTTTTAAAAAAAGCTTTCACAACTAAACAATAATCTCGGAAATAAGTCTTAGTCTTCTTTCTTAGTTAAAAACATAATCAACACATATATTTTATCATTTCTGAAATTCTGGAATGTAGCCCAGAGCTCTTCATGAAAAATCACAATAGCTATAGTGCATTCCTAAAACTGAGGAAATAAGGGTGGGTAGGGGGGACACTGAGGACTCACAGAGAGGTGTACAGGGCATGGAGTAACTGATCTTTCAGAAGAGGGAGAGGTGTATGATAAAAGGCAGCTTCAACACCTACTTGACTGAAATCTGGATCCTTTTCTCCATCTGGCTTAGCTTCTTCCTTGTCCTCCTCAGTTTCAGAACTACTCACATTCAGCTCCGGAGCAGAGTCCTTCATCACCTGGACGGACCAGGACAACAGAGATGAAGTTGGTCAGATCCTAAGAGGCAATGCTATGGAGGGGTTCGGTGTGGGGATTCCCTGTAGATTTTCTGTAAGAACCCTGCATCCATGGTGGGGCAAGAGACCAGACACCGGATATCCTTTCCCTTTTTTTGTGTGTTAAAATGTTCAACAACACATTTGTCACTTGTACCGCATCCATATTCACCATCACATTCACCATGCTGTGCAACCATCGCCATTATCCATTTCCAGTTTTGTCCTTACTCTGAATAGCCAGTGTCATTTAAGCAATAGCTTCCTCTTGCCCAAATCCCTGGTATTTGCTTGTTTTTCTTACTGGCATCCATTTTGACTTGTAGTTACCCTACAAAGCAGGGTCAAACTGCCCCTGTGGGTTTCTGAGACTACATAATTCTTCACAGGACTAAAGACTGGTTTTTCTCCCGTGGAGCACCTGGTGGTTTCGAACTGCTGACCTTGTGGTTAGTAAACCAACGCATAACTAGTATGTCCTCAGAGCTCCCTTTGTTTGTTCAAGATATTTCATAACAAGTGCGAACATCCAACATTTGCCCTTTAGTGCCTGACTTCTTTTACTCAGTAGGATTTCAAGGTTCCCCCTGGTCACAGAACTTCAGTTCTCTTCATGGATGAGCAATACTCCATTCTCTGTAAGCATCACATTTTATTCAGCTATTCATTTGCTGATGGACACATGGGTTTCTTCAATCTTTTGGCTATTGTGAATGATGAGGCAAAGAACACCTGTGTGCAGTACACTGAACTAACAAGAAGACAGAACAAAACCAGTCAACATTTCAGTCCACGGGGGCTTCAAACAGTTTGTGGGGAAAATGGCACTAAAAGAAAATGGGATTTCCTCATATCTTTTCAAAGCATTCTCTTATTACACACGAGGTTGCCAATAGTTTGCACCAACTCGACAGCCAATTATCCATAATAAATAATGTAAGAAGCATGTCCAAGTCCTTGTTGCCAAGTCCTTGTGAAAATACCATGACCGACCTCCTGGGCTAACTGCACAAGTGGGAGGGGCACTCAACATGAACCAACGCTGGTCTCAGTGAGGTGGAGGTCTCCATACTTTCTTTCTCCAACCTTTGTACCAAACCTGACCATAGCCACCTGAGAAAATAATGCATAGCTCTTGCCTGTGTTCTCGCTACACAAGGGAGGAGGGCAATCTAACTCCACTCAAACCTAAGGCCAAGAGGCAAAGGCAGAAGTCAGATACGCCTCCAACCTCATCCTTCTTGAACCCTGTTCCGACACCAACCATTTCTCCAGTAGTAGGTACTCTTATTTCTCTGCTGGGTTTAATAGTTCATTACGATGGCCACACAGAAATCCCAAATATGGGGGGTTATTAGGGAATTAACAGGTCATCAAAGTAAGGATCAGTTAACAGTAAATATATGGTCGATGGTCTAAATCTTTTTCTTTGGTCTTCCGCTTCTTTGGGCCAGGAAGCCCATCTGCTGCTCTGTGTCACAGTCTGGTAGTCTCTGCTTTGCTCTCCTGTCTCATGGCCTCCTTGCCGTGGCCTCTGGTTTCAGTGGGGAATGGCGTATGCTGCCTCTACCACTTCAATCTGTGCCCTGCTGGCGGCTTTTCTCCCTTGGTAGTTCCAGAATTCTCTCTTCCTCATTCTAAGTTACCTCTTTGATATAGAGGTGTGGTTTTGGTCTATCAGCAGGCCATACCCCGAAGAAAGCAAAGGATGGTGATTTGGTTCACGTCCTTGAATAATGTGGAGACTCAGAATATATCCCACCTTAATCCAACCCATTAGTCTAACAGAGAACACTCTCCCAAATGTGATTAGAGTCATAGGCATAGAGGCTAGAATTTATAGTGCATCACAAAAGGGATTATTGCTAAAAGGCCCATCCACTTTAATGGACTACGTCTCACCAAAGCACTCTCTCCTCTGCTGGGTCCAATAATCTGTTGCAACTGTCACAGAGAACTCATAGGTCATACTGGGTTTTATTATGGAAGCAAGGTTACAATTCAGGATCAGAAGATAGAGAAGGAAGGATTGCCCCAAAGGGAGCATACTCCTCCTTTCTTTGGTCTTCAGCTTCTCTCAGCCACAGGTCTCCTGTCTAGATGCCTACTCCAACCTGCAAGTGCCATAGCGCTTTAGCTCCACTGAGGTCCCGTGGCATGGCACTCTTGTCAGTAAGCCTTCGCCCAAAGGCATTCATTTAGCTCTCGAGTGTGTGGGTCTGCAAGCCCACTCTAGCCATCACATTCGGACAGCCTGAAAGCCCACCATGCCAACTCTGGCCAGGCTCCTGGTTCTCATGCCTCAGGCCAAGACTGCTGGACTGTACTATGCGTGCTATTGCTTCAACTGTCTCCATTGTTATGGTTCTGTCTCCTGGGTCAAGCATGTTATCAGCACAAGGACCTTAGACCCAAAGGAGGTGCTCTGCATGGGCTCTTCTACTAGTGGTGGTGACACCCCTTTTCCACTTTCCCTTAAGTCTAGTGGGATGGCAGCAGAGCTGACGAGTCACTTTGGCAGGATTTCACCTTGTTTTTAAGGGTCACCCCTCCTCCCCAAGGCATTAGTAGCAAGCTGTTCAATCCACGAAGCAATGCATTGGGTAAATCTGCTGCACAAGCCTCTTTATAGTGTTGAAAAGCAAGGATGTTACTTTGAGCACTAAAGTACCTGACCCAAGCCATGGTACTTTCAATTGCCTCATATATATGTTAAAGTTGGACACTGAATAAGGAAGACTGAGAAACGAATTAATGCACTTGAATTGTGGTGCTGATGAAGAATATGGAAGTCACCACAGACTGTCAAAAGAACAAAGCGATCTGTCTTGGAAGAAGCACAGCCAGATGCTCCTAGGAGGCAAGGAAGCGGTGGCTTCATCTCATCTACTTTGAACATGCTGTCAGGATCAAGAGCAATCCCTGGAAAAGGACATCACGCTTGGTAAAGTAGTGAGGCAGCAAAAACACGGACTGATATAGTGGCTGCACCAATCGGTTCAAATATAAGAACAATCGTGCTTCTATCTTTTACATATAAAATATAAGAACAATCGTGCTTCTATCTTTTACATTCCAATCGCAAATAATTAACTGCATCTAGATTGCATGTTTGACCAATTTCCTACTAATGATGTTGACAGGCTTCTTCAATTTCTTCATCACTAGCTTTTGTGGTTTGTGCATATATTTAAATAAGCTATGGAGACTCTGAAGGCACCAGCCCCACTGGCTTTACTCCACTAATGTCACTCACCATGGTCACTCTGCTTTGCAAAAGCAGTTCCTCCTTAGTCACATCTGGAGTGCCCTCAGATCTAAGGGGACCACCCTGTGGCACAATCCCCTACAATGTTCTGCTTCCACTCCTTGGGTCTTCAGTGGTATCTGACAAGATTCTGAACCAATGTGAACATTTTCCATGGCTACGTCCTCTGAAGTGGGGAGCCAACTCCTTCTTAGTTGTCTGTGCTGAGTCTGGAAGTTCTGCTAAAACCTATTCATTCACTTTTGCTAACCCTGATGGCATTTAAAATACTGGTGACATAGCTTCCAGCATCAGAGCAACACACAAGCCAGCACAGTATGACAAACTGACAAGCAAGTGGTGTTTTAGATGGCAGTACAAATTAAAATGATTTTCATATTTTCTTTCCCATATGGCAAGTTGTCATAGAGAAGATACCCAACTAATTTTTGTGTGCCCACCTTGAACCGTGCCATTTGGTTGACTTCACTTATTATCATTAGTAGCTTTCTTATGGCTTCTTTGAAGTTTCTACATATACACAGCATGATTTACCTCAAAAGGGGATAGGTTTACATCTTCCTTCCCTATTTGAATAGCTTTTGGTTTTTCAATTGTTTTGTTGCTTAGCCTGTTCTGAGGACTTCCAGTAAAATACGTGGTAGCAGCAGCCAATGTGCAGCCTTCTCTTCATCTGGACCTTAAGTGAAAACCTCTCTGTCTCTCGTTTTTCACAGTTTCATTAGCACTTTATCCACATGTCATACAATTCAATAATTCAATCAGATCAAGGAGAGTTGTACAACTGTCATCATATTCAATTTCAGAACACTTTCTTCTTCCTTGTAGTCACTGTTACTCATGTAATTTTTTTCTAATTGTGGCAAAATATATACAACACATCTCCAATTCCACAATTTCTACACGTGTAGCTCAGTGTAAATGATTAGACTCTTCATGCTGTGCAGCCACTATTAATGCCCCTTTCCTAATTATGCTACTACCATTGGCGTAAGCTCAATGCCCCTACGCAACAACTCTGTGACCGTATTTCTTAGTGATTTTTAAAAGAATAGTTTCAATTCCACTTACTGGGAAACCCAACAGAAAACAATAAAAAACAAAAACAAAATAAAACGGGAAGGATAAAATAATAATATAAAGATAAAAAATACAAATAATGAGTAAGAAAGAAAAGACTACCATCAATATTTAAAAGTCAAGGGAAGAAATTTTTATCACGGAACAAATGAGAGATACTTATGCCTAAAACAAATTCAGGTTGGGTCAAGAGGGAGGTCAACTGACCAAGTATCAAATTCAACCCAGCATAATCAAGTTTACAACGATCTCTGTCTAATATCAAAATGAGACCCTGGCATGTGTCTAGAGTACCCATCTGCCAACAGCTTAATACCTCTCTTCATTGAGTACTACGTCTCTTTAACATGTCAGTTTTTTAACCTGATGACTTAGTCTTGTATTTAATGTATGTACCATAACATAAGAGGTTTCTGAAGAATTATTGAACATTTAAAAATAGGTGTAATTTTTCAGAAAGTTTAAGGATGTACTGTCTTTCCTAATACTCTGACTACCAAACTTAGTTTGTCAAAATTGCTCAGATGGCAGAACGCCACAAGGACAATGATCAAGAATTGAGAATATTCTTTTGAAAATCACTAAGAAATACTGCCACAGAACTCTATAAGTAATAAAACTGTACATAATTGGATGCTATTATATACTAGTATATATGTGCAACCAAATACAAAGAGAACTCCAGAAAGAAAAACAGACCTTTCACATTCATTAACTTATTTTCTCTGCAAATCAGGAAGCTGAAGTGTTAGTTCAATTTCTAAGGCAAAATCCTAGATCTCTAATGCATGAATTGAGTCAGTCTTCTAAATCAATGTGTTGGTAACCACTATCAAAGAAACAGTATTCTATTTTGTCTTTAATTTTAAAAAACCTGGCATTAATTAGTAAGACATCTAGATATCTGGGTTAGAATACAATAAATACAATAAAAATGTTCCAAATCCAATCTGCGGCAACTTCTAATGTTCCTCTTTCAAAAGCATGTCCAAATCTGTCTAAATCACCTGGCTTTGCAGATCAACTGCAAAAGCTTCAAAAGCAGCCTCCCTTGGTCCTGCCATACCCTTGACAAAGCTAGGCATTGGTCAGCATATCCTGAAAGCAAACATCAGATCATATCATGCCCATGCTTGGAAACCCGTTGGGACTTCCATCGGCACTTAGAATAAAACATCACATGCTTGGTATGGTGTACACAGAATACAGCCACTTAACTCATAGCATTAGCCTTCCTTAGAATGAATTCTGCATTAGTGCTGTCGAAGAAGCACATGTGGTTACCTACATTTAAAGGAAGAAAATATAAAATGCAGTTCCTCGGTCGCTCCAAAGCCATCTGTAGTTAGCAGCTTCCAGAGCATACAGCACAGATGCAGAGCATTCACATGGTGCCGAAAGTTCTCCTGGCCAGGACTGGCATTTCCTCTGCTACTGGAGCATGTTGGGGCTTCCTTGAGAACTTAAGTTCCCTTTGCCTGGAGTTTTTTGCCTGGTGGCTCTTTAAAAGGCCAGAAATTTGACAGTCAAAACTTGGAGTAAAATAAATCTTCTGGCGTGGTGAAATGAGGTTCTTTACTGTGGCCTTCTGTGTTGGTTCTTTGAGGAAAAGTTTGTGAGATAATTTCCCCCAATTCTGGAGGAGCTACCATAGCCCTCCTTTGCTACCTGTTACCCCAAAGGGGCTGTTACTTTTGCTAGATTGGTTCACAAATCCTGAGTACGTTGCGAACTACCTGGTCTGATCCTTTTTTTTAAGGCTCTGGGCTGCAGTGTGCCCTATGATTGGTGTGCACCTTGTGATATTTCTTAATATGCTTTTCGGTCCATGCCTCTGCAACTCCTATCAAATGATTGGGTAGGACCATGTAAACAGGGTGTAAGAAGCACTAGAAGTGAGGACCACTCCATTGTATTTGCTATTCCCTCAACATGGCAATAAGGATGAGCAGCTCAGAAGCCCGAAGGACGCAATACCACAAATGGAAAAGTGTCAAAGGCCAAGTCCAGAGGTAACAGAAGCTGTGACACGGAGACCATGGGACAGAGCAAAAAGTGATTGGCTGCTGGCTGAGGAGGGTATGCTAAGGTCCAATGAACTTCCCTACTAATAAATCTCCTGAACCACAAGTATTGTCTATGAGTTTTGTGCAGCCATTGCAAGGGATTATGAGATCCAGCATCACAAAAGTAGAGTGGTGTGGGAGGAATGGTTGGTGTCAGGCTGGGGTAGAAAGAAGGGTGGTAGGTGAAGGCATATCTGATCTCTGCCTTGTGGTAGAGGTTGGGATAGAGCTGGATTCTCCTCCTTTTTGTAGCCAGAGGAGATCAGATAAGGCCTCCTGTTTTCTCACTGGTCAGAGACTATGCAAATGAGGCATCTTTATCCTACAGTACAAATAAAGTGTCCATGACCTACTGATCGAGAACTCTGAGTAAAACAGCTTTATGGGTAGTCTATGCCTTAAAAGTGATATGGAATTCATGTATATAAGCAACCCCACAGTGGTTTCTGGCACAGAAAGAATCAGGAAGCAAGAAGCAGCTGGGGGGCGGGAGAAAGGCGGGGGCGGCACACATCTCCTAAAAGAACAGTAACAAAGGTCCAAAGCTGTAACACTGAAGGCATCACGAGGTCCAGAAGAGACCAGTGACAGCGTCAGTGGCAAAGAGGCGCTGAGAAGAAGAGAATGAGAGGAGGCCTGTATGATCAAGAGGAGTTCAGAGAGTGGTCCTACATTGGTTCCTGATTCTGAGTTTTAGCTTCTTAACTGATTTCTACCCAGTTCCTTATAAACCTCTTCAGTCTAAGCATGGTCTGAGTTCTATGTGGCCAATACAATGCATTACCAAGTCCAACAAGGAATCAAAAGGTGCTGTGGAGATGGCTGGCGTGGGGCTTGGTAAAATGGTTGGAGAGTGGAGGTAATGGCTGACCCTCCATCTCATACGATATTGGTTTGGGGCTGGCGGCTGAGTCTCTTAATTTACCTTGAAGTTAGAAGGGTTCAGTCGATGCTACTGTTACTACCCCCATCAACTCACATCCTCCAAGCAGCACTTCATCTACCCCCATCTAACCCCGCAGCCTGCCCTCCATCTTTTTTCTGCTTGAGTTCTTTAAAAAGTATCATTCCTAGGTGAAACAATTCTTTGAATCTGGCGGATTCTTCTGGGTTGTCTTCATCATGTGCACATGTTCCTGTTTGGATTCATTACTGTACTTCTAGCAGCAAAATCATTCCTGGCACACAGCTAACAGTCAATAAATATTTGCATATCAAATAACTCACTAGATCCATATATATAATCACACAACTATTCATTTACCCTTCTTGTCCGATTTCAATGCTGCTGCCAAACAGCTCTGAGGAAACAAAAACACTGTCCTCAGCAGTTCTCAGTAAAAAAGGCAACAGGGAGCCAAAAAGCAATCTCAATCATTGCTCTCGTGGCCACAAGAGGGAGCAGTACCTTCTTATTATCCACAACTTTATGTACATAGATGGTGGCTTGTGTGTATTCCCGCAGGTCCCTCTGTTGCTGACACAGTAAGCCTTCTCTGCATTCTGGACAGAGTTCTAAGAAGCAAAATGAAAGTGACTAAGGAATTACTGTCAACAAAACATCTATCAAACTTACAAGTGAGCGCTTACGTAAATCTTAGTGATATTTCCTATCAATTGTTGGATTCCATTGTATGCAAGCAAGGAAGTTAGTTTACTGTTCGCAAATAAGTATGTAAGTAATGAGATGAACAGTTTGTAGTTCCTGTTTGAGGAAGATATGTTTATACTACGACCACATGTTCTTTCACTGTAAACGCAGACTAGAATATTCATGTATCCTTCCTTCTCCGTACAGTGTAACTTTTAATTACCGAAGTATAAACAGTGTGAAAACTTACGAGGATCAGAAGTATACTGTGTTTCTGAAGAGGTTACATCACCCACTTCGCTTCTTGTGATTTTAATTACATGATCCACGACAAAGAGCTTTTGTATCGTTTGCCACTCGCTGGGCCATATGAGAGCTATACTGTGCAAAAAAAACAACATGCCTAAGACACATCGCAATTACAAAAACAAGTGTCCAAAAAAACAAACAAACAAAACAACTGTCATTCATTAGCCTCCTTAACCAAAATCCACTAGTACCTAACACTATAGAGAAAGAACAGAAGTGTTTTCATACTGTGGATACTGTAACAGCAGTGAACAAAATAGACTAGAATTACGCCACTGAATTCCAAAAACATTAAGTTAAATAAATTAAGTTAGTTGCAGAATAGTAATACAGTATGAGTCTGTTTACCTAAAAGTGAAGGTGTGTAAACTGCACTATGTGGGTTGTGTAGCTCCCACACTCAGGACGGATAGCAGTTACTTTAGAGAAAAAAAGGGGGGGGGGTTTGAAAGAAAGAAGAAGGAATAGTATAGTACTACAGCGCCTCCAAGTGCTTTTAAACTGGTTACCTACTTTGTTAGATGCCTGGAATTTACAACAAGCAATAGGAAACTTTGGGGGAGGGGTTAAAAAAGGTAGGGGGAAAAATACCTAGAAGAAAACATGTATTAATGTTTACCTACATGAAAGGGGTCCAAGCATCGACATATAATAATACACTGTTATGAGAAACCCTGGTGGCAGAGAGGTCAGGCATGAAGCTAATAATAAGGTTGTTGGCTCAAACCCTCTAGGTGCTCTGAGAAAAAGGTGGCAGCAGCCTGGTACGGCAACAATTACACAGCCTTGGGAATCCCATAGGATAGTGTTACTGTGTCCTATAAAGCTGTAATTAGTCAGAATCGACTTGGTGGCTGCGAAAGTTTGGTAAACGCTAGCATAAACCCAAAATCCACTTCCCACAATGGGAGTCTGATGGACTGATGCTACAAGAATAGAGTCGAACTTCTGCGTTTCCAAGGCCTCCTATCTTAACAGAAGCAGCCTGCCACATCTTTCTTCCCTGGAGCCACTGGTGGGTTCAAACCACTGATCTTCTGGTTAGCAGCCCAGTATTTTTACCAACCACTACTTAGTCACAGGGGAATTTTATTTATTTGTCTGAATTTTCTTTTCAGAGTTTACTGGCAATGTCAGAAGCATTCCACATTTTATATAGTTATTTTCAAACTATTTAAAAAGACAAAACTGGAACACAAGGAGTGGAATTCATATCTGAGTTTTTTGGGAAGCATTTAGGGAGTGGAGTACATTTCCTTTGGGACCCTAAGAATTCCAGTTGACCAGCTCCTCAATGGCTGTGCTCTAAACCACTTCCTGGTGCTTTATTTCTGAAGCTTGGCAGCTACAGAGAGGAAAACCACAGCGTAGACGATGTAGGTCATGTGATTCTGGCAAAGAGTTTGGAGCGTCACTGTGCTGACTACCAGCGGCTTAGAAAGGGGAGGCACAGCACCGGTTCCCAGGGGAGAGCAGGAAGAAACGAAGAGTGAGGTAATCTTAGGAAGCCTCTGGCTATTAAGGTTAAGGAACCCCCTAAAAAAACCACACACAAGTGCTCACTCTGTAGTACATATAAAGGGGGGGGGGCCTCAATTCAGAAAAGAACGAGATTCTTAAAACAGTCGGATTTAGATCAGAAGGGAAATTTCCTAAATACACTTCATTCATCATTAGAAATACAAAGATCTCACGAAGAGAGGAAACTCACAGTTTAGAATCTTCTTTGGTCATGGAAGCAAATGTAAACATGAGGCCCCCGTGGGGACACAGAAGAGCGCTGTTTCCCACCGACGACACCGGAGCACATCTCGTGGGCTTTCTACTCAGGTGAGACAAGGAGGATAAGCACACCTCACTACTGTATGCCCAAAGCGAAGGTCTTAAACAATTATTTAAAACTAAATATACAAGGGGCTTCAAAAGTCTGTGGGGAAAAATGCATTTCCCCATAAACTTTTGAAGGCCCCTCATATGTAAAAGGATATCAGCAATTATGTGCGTTTATGAGATTATTCATGTAATTTAATAGAGAAGACAGCTGTCGCTGTATGCCATTAAGAGTAACTACAAAGGGGACCACTGACAGAATCCACGATCTTAAATTATGCGACAGCTAACAACAAAAAGGAAAATAGAAAAGTTCAGTTTCTACCTAACAAATTTCCGCCATTCTTCTACAAAGAACTGTGACACAATGTAGAGGATGTCCGTATCCTAGAACACAAAACCACACACATCCGTTAGACCCGCCAGCCCGCTGGACCCCAGGCCTAGGCCAATGCTGGGTCATAAACTGCGATGTTCTTTATCCAGGGTTATTAACAAAACTACAGCTCTCTACCACACAACTGCACGGAGGAGTAAATCTTCCCGATTAGGTAACTGAACAATTGCGAGTTGTTCTGAAGTAGTTCCTCAGGAAGCTGGCAAAGGCCTTCTCAAGGTAGGAAAGCTTCTTCCCTTTGTGGGAGTCACTGTACCTCTGGCCAGTCACTGAGACAAGGTCTGTTTTTGTCCTGGAATAAGTTTGGGAGAGAAGTCTTTTGTTCGTTTGCAATCATCTTATGCAAGGCTTCGTTTTCCTCCCCTTCTCGTTCTAAGATCTGAAAGAGAATGAAGCCAATCAACCCTTTCCTGCTGACAGCACAGTCCTGTGAAAAGCTCAAGCTCATGCTTCTGGGAAGTTAATGGGGAGGTGCGGGGTGTTGTCACAGGGGAGCTCTGCACTTCCCACAGGTGTCAACAGCTTAGTACCTTGCACTGTGAACAGCATTCTTTGTAACTTGGGAACTCAGGTGCCTTGGGGAAGTATTGCTGCAATTTACTCCATGCCTCGAAAGAAACAAGTCGCCTTTCATTTTCCGATATGCACAATTCCCCTGATTTAGAAAGAAAAAAAGACCCAAACACATACACATATCATAATTGGTTGGGGGAAAGGGGATCTTATGGGGGGAGGGGGAATCAACACACAGCTCCCACATCAACCTCCCCTCCTTAAACTGAAGTACATACAATCAGGGCATGCCCTTCTTTTTGTTCTTGTTTTTGAGGCATTACTGTGCAAAATTCCAAGCTGTTTTTGAAACTTTACGTGAAAATTTGAAGTACACAGGATGGCCAAATTAATCTTTAAATACATAAGCAGGAGAAGTCATAATGCCAGACATCCAGCTTATTATAAAGTTTTAGTAATCAATTCACAGAGAAATCGACTATGCTCCACAGGCAAATGCAGCAAGGTAGCATCATGGTGAATGGGAGGAAACACAGTCATGGATCATTCACAGATGTATGCCATAGGCATCGGTGTCATTCAGTCGGTGCACAAACAATGACTTTTTGTTCTTTACTAATGAGTTTGACTCCTAGGGAGTCACTCAATGGCCACTACTCACTATATTTCTTCCCAAAACTTTAATTTCACGGCTAGCCACCAACCTCAATTTTGCGTTCTTGATGTAGATCTGTGGCAAGAAAACCTGTGTGGCTGTTACTGATGTGCACTGCTGAGTGAACGTGACTGTCTACAAAGACCCTGTACAACAGGACACGGCTGGCCCAGAGTTCCCTAGAACATGGTTACTAGGCAATGAACAAATCTGCCTTGAAATCAGTACAGCCAAATGCTCCTCAGAAGCAAAGATGGCAAGACTCTGTCTCAAGTATTTGGGCATGCTCATAGAGGATAGTAGTAGATGATCAGGGAAAAGAGAGATCGACACAGACTGCAATAATGAACTCAAAGCATAGGAACAATTGTGAGGATGGCACAGGACCACACTGCTTTACTCCACTGTGCACAGGGTCACTTTTAGTCAGACCCAGTTCGGCAGTGCCTAAGCACTCCACTGCTTCAGAAACAGGTCGTCATTAGCGCTCCATGTGAGGCGAGTGTCTCGCATTTTCTTTCTCCTGCCGAGTAAGACAATGGTGAAAAGGGGCTTCCAGAGAGGCAGGCCCAAGTCATGGCAGGGGTGGGGGTTGGGTGTGTGTGTGTTACTGTCGTTAGGTGCCACCCAATTGGCTCCAACCGACCCATAGCGACCCAGTGCACAGAGAATGACATGGTCTAGCCCTGTCCCATGCTCACAATTGTACCCATTCCTGAGCCCATTAATGCAGCCATGGTGTTAGTCCATCTCGCGGAGGGTCTTCCTCTTTGTCACTGCCCTTGTACTTTATAAACGTGATGTCCTTCTCCGTGGACTAGGCTTTCCTAACAATATGTCCAGAGTATGCAAGGCAAAGTCTTGCTATCTTTGCCTCTAGAGAGCTTCCTCTGGCCTTACTTTTTCCAACACAGACTGGTTTGTCCTTGTAGCAGTTCACGGTGCTTTCAGTATTCCTCTCCGGGATGGCCAGTCTCACAGAACTCCATCTAATCCCACATTGCTCACAGTGCTACAATTTCCTGCAGATTCAGCTCTATTTAACTGTTACTTTACCAAAACCATTCTCATTTTAAGGTTGTGTTCATCCCTCACAGGCCCATTCTTCTAAATTATCAACTTAAAGTTAAGTAATACAGCAATTTAGTATTCAATCTGAAAATTCTGTTCAAGTTCAATTTACCTGCCAATACTATAAACATAACTCAAACCTCTTCAAAAATTCCAGAAGGGAATGAGAATGGTAATATTAATCACTACTCTCCTTCTTACAGAAATGCCCAGGTCAGAGCAATCTACAACCCAACACCTCCTGAGTTTAAAAATGTACACCAACTCTAGAAGATTGAGCCTTTCTCCCGACTCCACACTAGTATTGTGTTCACACATCTGATTCCATTAGTCATTTCCATCTGATAGGTTAGTGAACTAACTATGAATATGAGGGTTACCTTGAAAATCCGTTTCCAAAGCCAGACATGTATTCTTGTCTCTATACCATAGGTATCGGCAGATTTAAGAGTAATGAACTAGGGGCTTTCTAAAGTATTACTCTTTGTTTTATGGTTTTGCTTAATAAATACACTCAGACAGATTAAATAATAGGGCCAAGTTCATTACAGGTAGAAAATAACAAGCTGAGATGTGAACTCTGGTATGTCTTAAGCAAAGC